CCAAAGGTTTTCAGTGGGTGCAGATTTTGACTGGCCTTCTCAGGAAACGCTATTTGCAATGATTGTGTCCTCTCTGGTCTCTTGTATGATTAATTGGTTCATATCCTGAACCACACAAAGCAGCCAGTATTATGTAGGGGATGAGAATGCCTTAGACTGGAACAAGGTCAGTGATTCATACATTGCAAAACTGTATCTTGTCATAGTAATGGATCTGAGGGTCTACTGGTGAGCAATGCAATACAGTTCCCAGTATGATTTATGTCTATAGAAGCAGACTCAGGGCCCAGGAAAAAAAAATGAAGCCAAATATTTATTCTGTTGAAAATCTTCTAACTTTTGGACTCCAACCTACAGTCTATTACAGGAGTCAGGCCTCTTAGCTCATTCCTATGTCATCCAAATCCACTTTATCTTTTTATTCTTCTATTCGTTTTTAGTACACAAAAGGAAAAATGGATTTTTAAAAATGCCATCCACTTGCATTCTGGAGAGCCTGATATACTTGGAAGCTAACCATGGTTGCTTGATGAAAGGAACAACTAGGAAGTTCAAATGAAACACAACATACCCCAATATATATCCAAAGATCAGTCTTTCCAAATGCCACACTGGCTGGGAATTTCCTGAGTTGTAGTCCGGATGCATTTGTGAGGTTCCAGAGCAGGGAAGGCCAAGAGTACAGTACCAGAAATCACCAGACAAATGATTCTTGTTTCCATTCACAGGGCATTGGAGGTCCATTCTCTTATCCAGTGGTTCCAGGATGTGTTATACTTGGTTTTGTTGTGACCCAGGCCCAAGTAAGTAGTAGGAAAATCAGTCAGTGAAAAAACAAACAAACTTTATTCGAACAGCTGAGAATTACTTCATTCCCAGTGGCGTTCAACTAAATTAAAGCAAATTCCTCCCAACACAAATTCCTCAGTCCTATCTCAAATCTTGGTCCAATTAGGCAAAGTGCCAAAGGCCTTTCTTGGCAAACATTCAGAAGTTACAGATAAAAATAAATACAAGACGTAGACGAAGAAGAAGACGAAGCTACCAACGTTGTTTTCTGGCAAAGCCCAAATGCTGTTGCTGGTCTGTTTTAAGCCTTATGGGAGGGGCCAATCATCTCTTGGCCCTACTCCCAAGTTGTCCTCTTTGCTTGAGCTGCTCTTGCCTTCTGGCAGCTCTTCTCATGCATGTGTTAGGAACAGGCTCCTCCTGTTCCTCTGCCTCACTTCTATTAGTCTCTGGAGGCTCTGGAGTCTGCACCTCACTCCCCGATGGCCCTGGCCCCATCTCTGCCTCTGACACAAAGCCCTCATCCGGGCCTTCCCCAGCCTCCAGGACTGGCCCATGTTCTTCCTCAGCCTCATCGCTGTCCGACTCTGTCAGAATTCGAGGATCTCGCCCAATAATTACTCAGAGTCTGTTGTGATGATAAATTTCATTTATTCATATCTACTCTCTTGCAGGAGATGTAGAAGAAGAACCAAGAATCAGGGAGGATTCGATATATATACAGAGGAGGAATGGTCAGAGGTAAGTAGGAGTGGTTTTGGGGGTGATGTAGACAAAATGGGAGGTAACCATAATTATGTACATAGGCAATATATTAGGCATTTACATATGTAACAGACTCTGCAGCCAGCTCTGCACGAGACTCTGCTGCCAGCTGCAGGTGCTGGCGGACCACAACAGGTTTTGGCTTAGCATATAATATGAAACAAGCCACTGTGGTTAACAAATCATGGTCAATAACTTGATACAATATGCAACCCTGCTCGGATTGGAGTATATTTATCTAATTATACTTAACACAGGCCTGGGTGTGCAATGTGTAAACCCAGTCTGTGGCTGGGTTTGCACAGCATGTCTAATCAGGTCAGTTTGCATGAAATGTAAAGGCAGGGAATGAATACATTTAGTATCCAAGTGAAATATGTTATATAAGCGCAGTCATTTTATGCTGAAGATTCTTTATTAACTGATTGTCAAACAGTTTTGGGTATTATAACACTGATATCCATCCCGAAGGATTTCATAATGTTCTGACCGATTTTATACATTGAACTAAGCCAAAATATTTCATGTTTACAACTTGTTGAATTTTCTGTAATTGACTGATTCTCACAACACACTAAACTATAACCTAACAAACTATATTATGGATTAATGAGATATGTAAATATAAGAAAGGAAGAAAGAACATGGACCTATTGTTTCAGAGCCTGGGAGAGACTGGAAAGTGGAGGAAGAACAAATAATTTCTTAATTTAAGATAAATCCATGGATCTTTTATGCTTTACAAATTAGACTTCAAATTAGAGTCCCAAGGACACTGATTTCTTGTCTGCATTGGGATCTCTAATACAGCATTAATGTCCTGACACCATAGGAAGAATTACAGAAAAAAATATTTAATAGCTTAGGAGGCCCCATTATCATGCAGTTCACGTACCAGCTTGTAATTCATAAATTATGAGTCTGCCCAAGCTACTAATTCATGGTTGTGATTATTTAAAGGTGGCCTTTTTTTTTTTGGAAACTCACTTTCTGGATTTACAGTTTTTCAGCTGAAATTTCAGTTTTCCCAACGAAACCAGGCAGAGTGCATTGCTGGGTGTGTAGTGAGGGTGTGGGTGGGTTTCAGACAGTAATATATAATAATAATAAGATGTACCCAAAAAAAACCCCAATAATGGCAATAATAATAGCAAAACAGTAAGAATGGTGATTATTTCTACATTGTAAATAGGGTTTTTCAGAGTTAGCCAACTGTATTTGCCAACTAGTTTTAGAATGCCAAAAAAGTTTGTATGGCTTGGTGGGCATGGTGAAACATTTTTTTTTTCAGCTGCATCCGGAGTTTAGGGATGAAAAACATCCCTTTTTTCAGTTTCCCCTACATTAAAAAAATAATATTGTGAGCAGAAAGACAATGCAGCAGGATTAGTTAAAATCTCTCACCCTGTTGTGACTTTTACTGTCAAGGAATATGTCTGAGGTACCTTCCCCTTCCCATTTACATGTAATCTTAAATGCTATATTTAATGTATATAGCATGTATATCTGTACAGGTGACATGTATCTCTGTCATCTGTACAGATAATCAGTTATTAGAAGTCATTTTAGGAGATGCCATTTCCCCAACTTCTTCTAAATTCCACCTTCACCTTCCAGATGTTGCTGAATTACAATTCCCAACAACCTTAGCCAGCATAGTTAATGGAAAGATGATGGAAACTGTGCCCCAACATCTGGAGAGCTACAAGACCTTGTTGTTCCTCAGCTGTCCTTAATTCTCTCCTTGAATACTCAGGAGTAAACTCCTTGGGAGGCATTTCCTTTGATGTTGATAGTTCTACCCAGAAGTGTTATTTAGAGCAGGGGTCTTCAACCTTGGCAACTTTAAGACTTGTGGACTTTAATTCCCAGAATTCCTCAACCAGCAAGGCCTGAGCAAAGGTGGCTGAGGAATTCTGGGAGTTAACAAATATAACAGATTAACAGAGTTGGAAGGGACCTTATAGCTCATCTAGTCTAATCCCCTCCTCAAGCAGGAGACCCTACACCATTTCCGACAAATGGCAGTCCAATCTTTTCCTGAAAGTCTCAAGTGATAAAGCTCCCATAACTTCCGAAGGCAAACTGTTCCATTGGCTGATTGGTCTCACTGTCAGAAGGTTCCTCCTCATTTCTAGGTTGAATCTCTCCTTGGTCAGTTTCCATCCATTATTCCTTGTCTGGCCTTCAGATGCTTTGGAAAACAGCTTGACCCCCTTCCTCCTCTCTATGGTAGCCCCTCAAGTATTGGAACATGGCTATCATGTCTCCCCTGGTCCTTCTCTTCACTAGACTAGCCATGCCAAGTTCCTGTAACCATTCTTCATATGTTTTAGTCTCCAGTCCCCTAATCATCCTGGTTGCTCTCCTCTGCACTTTTTCTAGAGTCTCAACATCTTTTTTATAGAGTTAAAGTCCGGAAGTCTTAAAGTTGCCAAGGTTGGAGACCCCTGATTTAGAGAACCCAATAATGTGACTGTACAGTTGATGTGAGACATCTTAAAACAGTTCTGCTTCTCCAGAAATGGTCGTGTACACCTATGCTCATATAAAGGCTAATATTATTGTCAAAGCCCTGCTTGGTTAGTTTCAAAGGGAATAAGTGGAGAAAAAAGAGGAGTCATTAGAGATGCCAAATGATTGCAACGTGCTTTGAAATACTGCAGGGAACTCATCAAAGCTAGCTATAAATACCCTTCAAAATTACCATAAACTGTCTGCAGCTGTAGCAGAGAAATCGCGGCAAATGGTCACTCATCCACTCAGGCTAAATCCCAACTTCTCCCCCTCCGAGGGGAAAGCTTCATATTGCTGGGTTTGCAGAACGCATCGGCCCCAATGTCATTTGGTTGATGTGTGTTTAGTTTATTCGGTTATGCTAAATGTTACATGCCACATACTTTTCATGACTTAAGGTAATATAAATCACGAAGAATACAATGAAATGTCCTTAAAATTCAAATCAGCATAGCCTAAAGGATACACGACATATCCCCACTGTAAAAATTACTAAGGCTGCCCAGTCACAGTTGGCATCCACGCATCCTGCAAAACAAAGTGCCTCAGGAGGCAAAGCATTTCAAGGTTCGTGACCAACTGCAGAAGAATGATGTTGATCCTCTGACCCCTTTATTTCATGTGAGATGGGGACTCTCAGAATCCCCATCCTAGAAAGAGCAGAAAGTACATTAAAACTTTGATGGGAGACATAGGATTCGAGCCGGGGTGAAATGCTACCAGTTTGGGTGACCTGGTAGCGGCGTCAGCACGAAGCTCCGCCCACCACCCAGACATCGTTACTTCCTGGTTTTAACCTTCCTGTTCTTGACCCTCTGCGCATGCGCAGAAATCTTTGCGAATGCGCAGAGGGTCCAAAATCCCATGTGACATGTGCATGCACTTCCGAACCGGTGGGGAAGGTAAGTAGATTTCACCCCTGATTCAAGCTATGTGGGACTGAAGACACTGGACAGCCACTTGTCAGACATGGTATAGGCTGCAGGGGTGTCGATGGTGACATGCACCCCAGCTCCGCAAATGGGGAAAATGTCGTGAAACATCACGTGACAGCAACGTGACACACACAAGTTTGACCCCCGTGGTATAGGGTCTCCAGCTTGAGCAGGGGGTTGGACTAGATGACCTATAAGACCCCTTCCAACTCTGTTATTCTGTTCTACTGTGTGTTTTCTAAGTCTAACCAAAAGATAATAAAGGCACAACTGCTGACCTACAAAGGGCTGTAATTAGGACACCAGCCAAACACTGTCCCGGCCCTGGTTTTGATTTGTTGCTCCAATTCAGAGGTGGGTTTCAGCAGGTTCTGACCAGTTCTGGAGAACCGGTAGCAAAAATTTTAAGTAGTTTGGAGAACCGGTAGTAAAAATTCTGACAGGCCCCGCTCCCATCTATTCTCTGCCTCCCAAGTCCTAGCTGATTGGGAGGAAATGGGGATTTTGCAGTAACCTTCCCCTGGAGTGGGGTGGGAATGGAGATTTTACAGTATCCTTCCCCTGCCATGCCCACCAAGCCATGCCACGCCCACCAAGCCACACCCACAGAACCGGTAGTAAAAAAATTTGAAACCCACCACTGCTCCAACTGGCTGAGAATCCAAGAGGACTGCCCATCTCCAAATGCAAACTTGTTCCTTCAGGGAAAATGCAGCTCATCCAGAAAGCTTCAGAATTAAGCCAAAAACATTCCAACAAATAACAACTCTGCGTTCCAGAATATTTAATCTGAACTTGTTAAAAGTTCAGTGTATTGCACAAATCCCCCCCCATAAAAGCTTTATGAGTAAACTATAATTTAGCCGTTGTGGTATCATGTTGGGTTGGGGATGGAACTCACCCTCAGCCATGGAAATCACTGTCGGGGGGGCCAGTTTTCTTTTCTTACCCAATCTACTTCACAGGGTTATTGGATAAAATTGGAGATCCCTATGTAACCCAGTCTGAGCCTTGAAGCAATGGGGGACTGAAATCAACAAATAATAGTTATCTAGAAGGGAGAATAAGCCTGTTCCCTATTATCCTAAAGCATGGTTTCTAACCTTGGCCATTTGAAGATGTGTGGACTTCAATTCTGAGAATTCCCCAGTCAGCCATTTATGGTAGAAACACTCCCTAAAAAAGGTGTTGAATATGCATCAATTCCATAAATGGCAAGCACTTCCAGAGTTGTATTTAGCTGGTCTTGGTTCTCTTTGCAATACTTTTATGTACTTACACGCATATACAATATGGACAGCTGGAGATATATCACTAGCGAACAATTAATGCTTTACGTCAGATCCCTTCAAGTTGTCTTTAATCTCCTTGAATCTAGCTTTGTCCCTTTCCTTTTAAAATTTATTTTAAGTTTTATTTTCACTCTTACACAAAGGGATTCAGTTCTCTACCTCAATCAGTAGGCACCAGTGAAGAATGTGGTTCATGGGTAATGGCTCCCATTAAGACAGATTTTTCTCTGCAAGTGCAACCAGTTCAGGATATGGCCATGTGAATTACTCTGCCCACCACTGCAAGTGGATTCCCAATAAAGGGGACTAGAAGGGTGTCTCACATATGTTGCTCTGCCAACAAGTAAAGATTGTTTATTCAGATGCTTTTTTTTAAAAAAAAAGTGGTCTTAATTTATTGCTGATTGAGTTTTTAATCAGGTGGTTGGCTTTCCTTTCCTTTTACTGATGCATTTTAAAGGATGAGTCTTTTCTCTGTTGTTTGCTTTGGTCACTAGCACTATATATTATTTTTTGGTGAATGGTTGTATTTAATAATAAATAGATTGATAAAATAAATTAACAAGAACTGCTTAACAGGGAGGGAGAACAGAAGTAGCCAAAAATGACCATTATCTTAATTTTCTTGGGAATTCACTATGTTCTTCTAGAACAGGGGTCTGCAACCTTAAACACTCAAAGAGCCATTTGGACCCGTTTCCCACAGAAAAGAAAACACCGGGAGCCACAAAATCTGGGTGGGCATGGCCAACTCAACATCACTCACTCCCACCCAGTCACATGACCCCCTAGCCATGCCTACCCAGCTGGTCATTAGGGCAGAGAACGGTTATTAAAAAACACTGGGAAACTACAAAAACCCTTTGACATCTCATCTCTCTCTCTCTCTCTCTATGTCTCTCTGTCTCCCTCCCTTTCTCTCTATGTCCCCCTCTCTCCCCCCTCTCTGTATCTCTCTGTGTGTCTCTCTATGTCTCTCTCTCTTTCTTCCCCTCTCTCCCCCCTCTCTGTATCTCTCTGTCTTTGTGTCTCTCTGTGTCTGTGTCTCTCTCCCCTCTGTCCCCCCTCTATATCTTTCTCTATGTTTCCATCTCCTCCTCCCCCATTGTGAAGTGCATTAAATTTCACTGTGCTGCACAAGGTGCTGCAAGAAGCAGCAAGAGCAAATGTATGCAACGAAGGCATGCAAAGGCAAGTGCAGGGGCACTTCGCCCCCACACTAAGGCTCCGGCCATCACCATCACCATGACAGGGCCACAGCTCTTTCATCCCTCTGCCGCGACAGGGTAACAGGGAGCCGCAGCAAAATGATGAAAGAACCGCGTGAGGCTCTGGAGCTGCGGGTAGCTGATACCCATTCTAAAACAATTCTCCAGATGTTTGACGAGCCTAAAATCCCCAGAATTTTCTATATTTGGAATAAATAATTGATGGGGAAAATTTATTTATATGTATATGGATGCCCACCTTATAGCAATATAGGGAGTCCTTGACTTAACAACAGTTCATTTAGTGACCCTTTGAAGTTACAACAGCACTGAAAAAAGTGACTTATGACCATTTTTCACACTTATGACCATTGCAGCATCCCCATGGTCATGTGATTAAAATTCAGACACTTGGCAATTGACTCATATTTATGATGGTTGAAGTGTCATGTAATTACCTTTTGCAACCTTCTGACAAGCAAAGTCAATTAATCAATCAGAATAGAGCTGGAAGAGCCATTTTCCTCCTTTTGTCCTCAGCTATAAAAATATATCAGTGCTGGTTGTAATACAAACAGGGAGGAATCCCTGAATGGCCCAGGTACTTTTGCATATGTTACTGATAATGTTATTACAAAGTGAAAAGAAGCAAGTCAGTAAGAAATAACCAAGAAACACACACACACACATAAATGCCATACTATATTACTTTGTGGAATTACATCTAGACTTTGCTTTAGAAACCTCATTCCAACCCTATCAATCACACTTAATAATGAAAAATATACTTTAATCAATCAATCAGAATAGAGCTGGAAGGGACCTTGGAGGTCTTCTAGTCCAGCCTCCTGCTCAAGCAGGAGATCTTATACCATTTCAGGCAAGTGACTGTCCAGTCTCTTCTTAAAAACCTCCAGTGATGAAGCACCCACGATGTCAGCGTTTCGACGCTGGCATAGAGAGTAGAGGAGAGAGATAAGTTCTGAACTTTTGCCTGCTAAATCCCTTTGAAGTCGGGTTGTTGTGGAAACGAAGGGGGGAGACATTCCTGGGAAATGACGAGACAAGAAGTCTGAAGAATGACTTGGAAGATAGCCAATGAGAAGCAGAGGTTTGGGGATCGGAAAGGGAGGGATTGGGGGGCAAAAGGTCAGTCTTGTCCGCATCGAGTCATGATCCGGTGGCTGTGCTCAATTAAAGAAAAGATTTCCTTAAAGATTGGCAGTTTGGAAATTCATTTATTTTGAGATAGCATCGAAGTCTGACACACAACTTCTGAAGGCAGGCTGTTCCACTGGTTAATTGTCCTGACTGTTAGGAAGTTTCTCCTTAATTCCAGGTTGCTTCTTTCCTTGATTAGCTTCCATCCATTTTTTCTTGTCCTGTCCTCGGGTTCTTTGGAAAATAAATTGACACCCTCCTCTTTGGACTTTTCAAAAAGGGGAGAGTTATCATTGACATCGGAGATCTGAACCTTAATCAGTCTTGTTGAAGTGAGCCTAGGAGATTCCCAGTCAATGGCAGTGATGGTGATGTTGTATCCAGTGACCATCTCTCTGTCTAGGGGACTTTGGAGCACAAGCTGATAAAAGTTGTTCATGGTGACTTTCAGCACAAAAGGGAGATTCATCTGCACCGAGCAGACCATTTTGCTGTTGTCTCCAGAATCTTGGTCTCTCACACTGAAGAGGGCCACCATTGTGTCTGGCGGAGAGTCCTCCTTTAAAGTGCTGATCAGAGATATGATGGATACTTCTGGAGAGTTGTCATTCTCATCTTCAACCTCTATCAGTACCTTGCAGTGCCCCGAAAGACCCCCTCCATCTGTTGCTTTGATGTTCATGCTATAAGTCTTTTCTTTTTCATAATCAATTTGACCCCAAACAGTGATTTCTCCATTTTTTTCATTTAAAAGAAACAAATTGTTTATTCTTTCAGGCACTTGATAAAATAAATAAAGTATCTGTGCATTTGAACCAAAATCAAGATCTGTAGCTTCCACTTTAGTCACCATAGTTCCCTCAAAAATGTTTTCCTTTATTTTTACCTTATATTCAGACTTGCTAAACTGAGGGAAGTTATCATTAATATCTAAAACATTGATATTAATTTGCATTGTGCCTATTTTCTGTGGTATACCGCCATCAATAGCCATTAGAGTCAGTCCAAGATGAGGCATCTTCTCCATATCTAATGCTTTTTTAAAAGTAAGATACATATTGTTACTTCCATCTTCCTGTTTATGTACTTGAAGCTGAAAATGCTCATTAGGACTGAGAGAATAGTTTTGAATGCTATTTTCTCCCAGATCCTCATCTTCAGCAGATTCCAAGTGGAATGTTGTACTTTTAGGAATATTCTCTGGAATGTTCACCTCCATTTCGGTTTTCCAAAATTTGGGTATATTGTCATTCACATCTTCTATCTTGATTTCAATATTTAAAATGTCTAAGGGATTTTCTAGTACAATTTGAGTTAAAAGTAAACAAGGGTCATTCTGGCCACATAAAGCTTCTCTGTCTATTTTATTACCAATCAACAGATTTCCAGTAGGAATGTCAAGGTGGAAATATTCCTTAGAGTCATCAGAAACTAGATGTGCTTTGCGTGTTATGAGCTCCCCTGTTTTCAGTTTTAAATCTTTAAACACACTAGAAATCCCCTTTTCTTTTCTTCCGGAATAGAGAAAAAAATTGAAGTGCACATTACTTTAGAGAATGAGAAAAAGAGAAGGAAATACAGACCTTGCCTTTTCCAAAAGCAGTTTTCCATGATTCCAATTTTTCATTAGAAAAATTTTCATTAGAAGATCAAATTCTGCCCCAACGCAAAACTTCTAACTTCCTTCTTTTACAATTTAATTCTGCAAATCCTTTGTATTCTTCTTTATTTGTGGCTTTGCTCTATCAACTGTTTATCTCTTAACTTTTCTAGTATTGAAATAAGATGCAGGTTAGAAATGAATTCTTTGTTAATACTGCCACCATGTGGTTCATCCTGAGAAAAACAATTTTAGTTTGGTCACAAATACTTATCTACCCATCATATACTGTAAGCAGTTGGCCATCCAAATATAAGGCAAATATTCTTCCAATTAGTAAAAACACAAGGAAACAAAACAGAAAGTTATGAGCACAATACATTTCAAATTGTTTTCCTGTAGGTTATAATCCAGTATTTTCATGATATACTTCTGAAGAACAATTTATCAACCCATCGAATGCCCCACTTAAACTAAAAACACTGGGTATTCTGTTAAGGTCAATGCTATCCAGGAGGTAACCTCATATTTTGTCTCTCCCCCCACCCCATGCTGTAACAAGTGTGTTTTTTCTTAGGACACACCATGAACTCATGGTGAAGTTCATGGTGGTCAATTCACAACTCAGTTCACAACTCAGTTCAATTCACAACTCATTTTTAAAGAGTATTCTTTTTCTGACAAATTCTATATCACTCTAATTTCTTCATACTTCATACTTTGATATACCTAAGTAGTGAATCACATTTTTACTCTCACATTCCCAACTAAGAGACAAATTTTACAAAACTTTCTATTTACATTCCATATACCAAGGAAATAATTCAATTATCCATAAACTTGTGAAGGGCACATGTTATTTCTGCAACAAGCACACTCATTGTAGGGTGAGAGGGATAGGGAAGCAATATCGTTTATTCTTCTTTTATTTTGCCTTATTTTTCAGATTCTAAACAAGGGTCAGATGGAATGAGAATGATGTCTGCATATCACATCTTGGAATACAGCAAGAAAAATAATTTGTCAGGTTTTTTTAAAGATATTGCAGCATTTCCCACCACTAAACTGCATAGAACAAAGCAGAATAAATACCAGTTTAGGAACTGAAATAAGAGTAAATCAATAAAAATGTGTTTATGCATAACAGCATGAACTAGTTCTCTGGAAACTGGTACTGAGATACCTCAATAGAAAATATTTCATTTTTTCCTCTTTTCTAAGTCACTCAAAATATATGGATTTATAACTTAATAACATCAATATATCGTTCTCAACTGAAATATATGTTTCCTTTCCTCCAATTCCTCCAAATTGTGGAAGGAATTTCTAATCTCTGGATTCAGTAGTGTTTTAGTTTGCTCCATAGTTAGAAAAAACAAAAACAAAAACAGAGGTTTAAGGAACTTGAACTCATCAACACAGCTGTAAGCTTGGAAAGGTTTCCCAATATAAGGATCCAATGTGTTCTCTTGCAAATTCATTGCCACATGAAAATTTAATGCAGAACTAGAGTGTCCTATGAAGTCCATTTACTTCTGCAAACTTCATGAAAGAAAGGAGAAAAAAATAGATGATATGGCAACCAAGCAGAAAATCATATATTTTATTAGGGTAAGAAATATCTATAATTTTCATGTAAGGATCAGAGAAGCCTTCCACTAGAAGAATTCTTGGGTTCACAAAAGCAGACTGAGGAGGATGCACATTATTTCTAACTATCACAATATGAATATGTTTGAAACTGCCTTGAACGTTTACTGGCCTCATGGTTTTGACCTCCCTATTCTGAGTCCCAACAGTGAAGAGACTTGGATCTGTGGCCTTCAGCAACTGATAGGAAAGCCAAGAATTCTGCCCTAAATCTTTGTCCACTGCCACCACTTTGGTGACTAGGTACCCTGTCTCTGCTCCCCTGGGAACCAGAACCTTTAATAGAGAAATGCTGTTCTAAAGGGGGCGTTGTCATTTTCATCTGTGATAAGAACTCGGACCATTGTTTCTGAGCTCAGTGGAGGTGAGCCCTTGTCTATAGCCCTCACCATCCCCTGGAAATCCCACATATAAGCTATGGATTGAATGGCATGAGTTGATGGAGATGTAAGATGATACAACTCTATCCCTGACCTTCCCAGACAAAAGCAAATAGGTCACTTTGGCATTCTGTTATATGTCTACATGGCCTGATCCAATGAGCAAATCTGAAAAACTCCTTTCCAAGTTCAAATCATAAAAAGATATTTCATACATTGGAGAGTTATCACTGCTTTGAATATTAATAATATTATTGAAATGAGCTTGTGGAAACCTTGGTCAAAATCTTACATTATGTTATATTCAGACAGGTGTTCTTTGTCCAAAGGATGTTGAGTCATAAACTGGTAATAATTGTTGTTTTTGAGTTTCAGCAGAAATGGCAAGTTTGCAACAGTGATCTTGATCACTGACACTAAACACAACTAACAGTGTTTCTGAGGAAGAGTTTTCCGGTAAGGGTTTGGTGATGGATGATATGGAATTTCTGAGGCATTGTCATTCTCATCCTCAAAGTCAATGAGAACTTTGCAGACATACCCCCACTATCAATAAACTACCTTACCGATTGTTGTGGGAAAAATCGGAAGAATGGGTGTTATATATAGCAGCTTCAGCTCCTAAATGAAAAGCAGAATATGAACAAATAAAGACGTAAATAAATGAAATATAGTAGAGAACTTGCATGAAGAACTGATTACATTGCAATGTGAGTTAGAGAATCTGAAAAGAGGAATGGAAACTCTATTCTACTTACTATCTTACAATGCAAGTATTAATGTACCTTTGAAAGTGAGATATAAGCAAACAATATGAGCCATGGTGGCGCAGTGGTTAGAGTGCAGTACTGCAGGCTACTTCTGCTGATCACCTACTACCAGCAGTTTGGCAGATCGAATCTCACTAGACTCAAGGTTGACTCAGCCTTCCATCCTCCCGAGGTTGATAAAATGAGGATCCAGATTGTTGGGGGCAATATGCTGACTCTGTAAACCGCTTAGAGAGGGCTGTAAAGCACTGTGAAATGGTATATAAGTCTAAGTGCTATTTTTTTTTTTAATTTGATTTATATGCCGCCCTTCTCCGGAGACTCAGGGCGGCTTACAATGCGTTAAGCAATAGCCTTCATTCTTTTGTATGTTTTATACAAAGTCAGCTTATTGCCCCCACAAACTGGGTCCTCATTTCACCTACCTTAGAAAGGATGGAAGGCTGAGTCAACCTTGAGCCTTGGAGAGATTCGAACCAGCAGAAATTGCAGGCAGCTGTGTTAATTACAGGGTGCACTAAATCCCTGTACTATCAAGGCTCTTCAATACTGCTACTATCAATAGCTATTGCTATTGCTATTGCTATCAATGACTACATTATCTATGACAGGATTCCAGAATGACACATTTTAATTTTCATAGGTGTAGCTGTGTTAATCTTGGGAACAAACATTCCAAATAACCTTATGATATAGTACCTGACAGATGAATCAATTCTTTTTGCATAAGCTTTCCTGAAAAAAGCTATTCCACTTCAGAATAAGAGAATAACAGAGGTGGAAGGGACCTTGGAGGTCTTCTGGGCTCACCTTTGCTCAAGCAGCAGACCAGGGGTGAAATGCTCCCAGTTCAGACCGGCTCGGGTGAGTAGGTAGCGATGACGGCAGGCAGTTCAGAGAACCGGTAAGAAAAATCCCTGCCCCTACCCCCATGCCCAGCTGAGCCGCATGATCATCAGAGCCTTTTTTTTCCTTTTAAATGGCTCTGATGAGCCAAGCTCTGATGATCCCAGCTGAGTTGCCTGCTAACCGATAGCAAAAATCCTTCCCCCCCCTCCCCAGCCTCCAGCTTGCTTACCTTAGCTGCTGGTCACAACGCCTGCCTTGCTTCGCTTGCTGTAATACCTGCAATCCATTGCATCAGCAAGCAACTGAATCTCTCTGCCTGCAATCAAGCTCATCGGTGAGCAGCTCTATCTGCCTGCCTGCCTTCCTGCCTAGACTTGTGGACTTCAACTCCCAGCAAAGCTGGCTGAGGAATTCTGGGAGTTGAAGTCCACAAGTCTTAAAGTTGCCAAGGTTGGAGACCCCTGTTCTATTGGGTAAGTTTTTTTTCCCCTTGGGAACTTTAAAAAAAATACTAGTTAATTGGGGTTTTTTTTAGTTGTTCTTTTTTTAGACCTAGCCATTTAAAGTTTAGGAAGTTTTAAATTTAGCTGCTTTTATATAAAAATAAAAATAAATAAAAATAAAAATATTTGTGCAGCTTTCTGAGATTTAGTGTGTTTCTGTAGTGTTTCACTCTAACTACACAAACACACAAAATCTCACAAAGCTGTATGTGGAATTTTGTGTATGTAAAGTGTGAAAGTTGGTTTTTTGGACTTTTTGTGGCTGTGTGAGGTTCCTGCTTGTTGCAGGGGCCATTTTGGGTCTAGCACAGCTGCTTTTACATTGTGGGTGAGCCAGTTGTGTTGTGTTATGTTTTGTAGGTTAAAAAAGGGCAAAGAAGTGACATTGACTTGGCCACGCCCACCCAGTCACCTTACCACCAAGCCCCGCCCACTAATTAAGCTACACCCACAGAACCGGTAGCAAAAAAATTTTAGATTTCACCCCTGGCAGCAGACCATATACCAGTGGTTCCCAACCTTTCCAGATTTGTGGACTGGTGTGTGGGGGGGAGAGGAAATGATTCTGTACAAGCGGCAGGCACAAGCACTCATGTACGTAGCTCCATTTGCATGAGTGGTGGGTGTTAAGGATATTGTTGTTGTGTTACCAACCAGCAGAGTGTAGAGCACAGAGAAACGTTGCTGAGAGCAATGAATACGAGATGTGCAAACTGGTTTATCAAAAGTTTACTTTATAGTGTAAAAACAATCTCATAGTCTTTAAATCAATCCAAGTCTTTGCCAGTTAAATCAGTCCAGTGATCAAAAACTCTTCTTACCACACAAACAGTAGTTGGTTAGAATAACAAACTCACTCTGGTTCACAAACCATGATGGTAGCAGATCCATCCAATGATGATAGCACAATGATAGCAACTCCTCACACTATGGTAGCATATCAGCAACTGAATACTTTACAGTACCTTTCTTAAATATGTTTACAACTAGTGATTATCTAATTACAGCATGACTCAGCATTACAATGAATCAGCAGTAAAACTTTAAAGTCACACAATACATATTCATATTAAAGTCACAGAACACATATATTGCCTGGATAACTTGTTAGGCTCAAACCATATCCTAACAGTGGGCACTCACGTGTTACGTGAAACTCCATTTGTGCAAACGGTGGGTGCATCTGCTGCTCTCTCAACTACACACATACGCTTGCCTGCCCCTCGTGCACCCCAGTCCTGAACAGGCTGCGGACCAGTCCCGAGCTGTGGCCAGGGGCTTGGGGACCCCTACCACATACCATTTCAGACAAATGGCTGTCCAATCTTAAAAACCTCCAATGATGGAGAACCCACAACTTCTGAAGTAAGCTGTTCCACTGATTAATTGTTTTAACTTCAGGAAATTTCTCCTTATTTCTAGGTGGTTCTCTCCTTGATTAGTTTCTATCTATTAATTTTTGTCCTACCTTTAGATATTACTTCAGATACTTCTTTGTGGCAGCCCGCTCAGATATTAGAAGACTGCTATCATGTCACTTCTAGTCCTTCTTTTCATTAAACTAGACATACCTAATTCCTACAACCTTTCTTCATATATTTTAGCCTCCAGGCCCCTAATCATTTTTGTTGCTTTTCTCTTTCTAGAATCTCAACATGTTTTTTATATCATGATAACCAAAACTGGATGCAATATTCCAAGTGTGGTCTTATTATCCAGGTATTATAAAGTTATACTAACACTTCATGTGATCTTGATTCTATCCCTCTGTAAATGCAGCTAGGACTTCATTGACTTTTTTGGCAGCTGCAGAACACTGCTGGCTCATATTTAAGTAGCTGTGCACTAAGACTCCTAGATCCTTTTCACAGTTACTTCTGTTGAGCCAGGTACCACCTATTCTACATCTGTGCATTTGGTTTTTCTTGCCGGAATGTAAAACCTTACTTTTCTCACCATTTAATTTCATTTTGTAAGATAGGGCCCAATTTTCAAATCTGTTGAGATCCTTCTGTATTTTGAGCCTATGTTCTGGGGTGTTGGCTATTCCCACCAGCTTAATGTCATCTGCATCAACTACTTCATCAACTATAAGCTATAGGGACTGCAGAGTAATATTATATCAATAATCAAACATCCTTTACTTTAAGATGATATCATTAGGTTGATGTGAATTCAAAAAAACAAAAACAGGTTTTAAACTATATGTATATGGAATTTGTTCAATCTCATAGTTTATTGTGGCTTTATATGTCTGGATTTGCAGCAAATTTCCTTGATCAACTCAACTAGCATAGAGGCATTCAATGTAACCCAAGCAATTACTCAATGGGTGGAACTTTCCCCATCACCTGTTAGAAATGATCCTGATGAATGTATAGCTGATGCAACTTTTCAATATTTGGTTCTCCCATCGTAACCCATTTATTATAGTGGGAGCCTTTTATTATTAAAGGCAGATATTAAACAAGTTCAAAGTTCATCCATAAACTTTTCCTAAAGATATCTACAACAATTTCTACCTCATGTGCTGTGATATGAGAAAGTGCTATATGAACTATCAATAAAGAAGTATTAAAGAGGCTCACAATTAACCCATATATATTCTTTATTTTAAACTTTTTGTGTGTGATTTCATTAGTTGTGTTTTGAACTTGAATACCATAGATAGGTGCAGATTTCTTCTTTATTGATGAAAGAGAAAGAGAAAAATACTTTGTTAAAATGGGAGCAAAGCTGGGAGACAAAAAGGGATTTGAGTTTTGCATCTCATCTTCTATAGCATACAGATTGTTTTAATGAAAATTCAAAACTTTAAATATTGAGGGAAATTATCTTTATTTATGTATTATGTTTATAAATATATTTTATATTTTTATCTTTTCCTCTTCTGTTGTCTTCCCCTATCCCTTGTTTGCTATTAACCCTAGAAAGAAAGTTCTACTGAATATTGTAGGAGGATTCTCTTATGAAGCTCACAGCATTTTTCTTAGAGCTGGAATCAAGGACGGAAAATATAAACCTCTTTTCTAACAGCCTAAATTATGTCTTAAAAGAAATCTGAAGTTAATTTTGCTCTCAAAATGTTGAATTTGTTTCTTATTTGCACTAAATACCTTGTAGTGGACTTCTCTTATCCTGCCTACTGCAAATAAGGATACCATTGCTTGAAATATTACATTTTCTATCTTTCTTGTCATACTCCAGTATTATTGCAGTTAGAAGAATGCTTTACTACATTAATAAAATATCCACACTATATAAAATTTATTCCTAAATATACTTTATCTTTCAGAAGATATCACATTTGAACTTCTCCCCTTATGTTTTTCTGTTTTTCATACCTGGCAAACATTTTTTTACCCCACTATAAATCCTCACTGTATCTTTTCCATGCTACATTGAATTCCTTAATTCACATACCTAGTCAGATTTGAAGTCCTCTGCATCTAAATTCAAACATCAGCTTTCAAATACCTAGCTGGATTCCTTTAAAAAGGTAACTTTCAAAGGTAACTGTATTGAATTACCAGCAGCCAAAAAAGGGACCTTTGCAGAGAGGAATTGTCAATGCCTTTGTTTTTCTTTCCCCAGATTAGAAAATATTTTGATTTAGAGGAATCAGGCACCCGGTATTTAGGTGCCACTGCAGAGAAACCTATGGACAGACAACTAGAGGGCAAGGAGGCCATTCATTGCTTTCTTGATTTGGTTAGCAAGACTCCCAATGCTGCATTTTCATATGAGTGACAGAATAATGCTGTAGTGGAGAAACAGGCATCTCAATACTAATTTCTTGATCATTGAAGAAAGTGAGACCACTGATCAAGATTACCCTAAACTGCCTCTACACCCATGTGGATCCTAACAATCTCCTTGGTTAACTGAGAGCATGAGAAATGAAGAAAGTGAAAAGATACCCACAGCAATGGAAAAAAAGTGAATTGCCTGATGATGGTTGTGTATCCTTCTCTGAGATAAAAGCTACAAAAAATGCTCATTTGTCTATTTTATTTTATCTGCAGACTCATGTGTAGTATCTCTGTTCAAAATTATTTTTTCTCTTTTGGGAAGAACAGAGCAAAGCTCCTTCTACCAGCTTTTCTGACATATCTGCCAATTTGTTTGTTCATTTGTTTGTATATAAAATTGCTAATTTTTACTCCAAGGTGGATTTTTTTGGCAGTCTGGCAAGATGACTTGGGCAATTTTTGTGAGATTTTCTAAAAATCTTTTGAGTTTCTTGTCTATTGTCTATTGAGATTTTGAGCTTCTGGAGACTCAGCCTTCGGTGACATGAGCTCACCTTATATAAGCTTGATCAAGGACCCAGTTGGTTTAATTATGTGGTTGAATGGAACCTATGTGGCTGGATTAATGCCTCTTCAAGGGAGGAACTGGGGTAACACTCCCCCCCCCCAACAGATTGTGTCTTTAGCCAGCTATTTTGGGCCAAACTCCAAATGTAAGGAATGGCTAAACACTAGAAAGAAGACCAATCATGCAGAAGATGAGGTATGTAGGTAATTGGTTCTTTGCATATTTAGGAATATTTCACAAGCAATGCTGTGAGAAATAATTCAATTGTTAATAATATATCTTGGATTGCTACATTCTTTAAAAAAATAATATTTAAGAAAAGAAGGAATTTCAGAAGCAAAAGAAGCAAATGCGTTTCTTGGGGGAAAGCAATTTCTAAATAATTTGTGATTCATTCCTAAGCCAGTATTTAATTAGTTACTTATATGGAATGTTGGCTGAAAAATGAGGTCAAGTTCTATAAGCTACTCTGTAATATAGTAGGCTATGAGTAGAAGATGAGGATGGCTTGAGGCAACAGACCTACATTTTTCTTACATTCAGAAGACTACTTGATTACTAAAAGTTTTTAAGATAGCCTCTGAAGCCAAGAGTTGAAAAGAACAGGTAATATTTTCCATGACAATAATATGCATGACTGATTATAGGTTCATTAATGTTTTTCTATATATTCCCCCTGCTGCAAATGCTGCATAAGCACATAACTTTATCTTAACCACATGGCCTACTTTGTATAACATACTAAGACATAGTTTCAATTTATTAAAAATATATATTTAACACAACTTAATATTTGTATTTATACTGTATAAAATGCTAGACCCAACTAAATATCATAATCTCAAGTGATGCAAAGTTATAAAAAGACAGTTACCGCTGTCCCAATTTAATGTACTTCATTGTTTAATATAAATAAGTAATTAGAGGATACTCACAGAAAAAATGATACAAAAGAATATAGAAAAAGAAAGATAAGAAATCTGTACTTTCATCTAAAGGTTAACTCACCTCTTCCTTTAATTGGCTATCTGCACTCTGCTGAGCAGTATCTTGGGAATCAGAAGATGTTTTGTGACCCTGGGGGTTGTTTAGCTCTCCCATTGAAAAGACCGGAAAGAGGGGCCTGAGAAATCGGAACTCGCTACTTAAGGATCCACCAGTCAAACAAACATCATAACGGTAAGACCTGGAAAGAGACCCATTCTGTAGATCAGCACAGTTCTCTTGTGTATCAGCACTGGCAGGTGGGAAGTGAGGATGAGTAGCAGGAAATTGGCTTTGGGGGTCCTTCTTGAGGATTTTGACCACAATAAACACAACAATACAGACAAGGAACACAGAGGAGACTGCAGCCAAGCAGATCACCAAATACTTGGTCAAGGTTTTATCTTCTTCCGGTTGTTGCACACTGACATCCACATTCCTTAGGAAGGGATCCGAAAAGCCATCCACAAGAAGAACATTAAGCAATGCTGTGCTGGTCTGTGGAGGAAGACCGTTGTCTCTGACCAGTATCACCAGCCTCTGCTTGTTTGTGTCTCGCTCATTCAGGGCTCTCCTGATTTTCACTTCCCCATTCTGTGCTCCTATGCTGAAAAGGGCTGGGTCTGTGGCCTTCAGCAATTCATAGGAAAGCCAAGAGTTTTGGCCAGAATCTGCGTCCACTGCAACCACCTTGGTGACCAGATAGCTGACCTCGGCTGACTTGGGAAGCAGCTCATTGCATGGGGATGTGTTGTTCTGGAGGGGATACAAGAAGAAGGGAGCGTTGTCATTCTCATCTATGATGTGGATTCGGACAATCACTTCTGAGCTTAGAGAAGGAGAACCACTATCAGATGCCCTCACAGTAACTCTGAAGCTTCTTATTTGCTCATAGTCCAGGGATCGGAGGGCATATATGTTTCCAGTTTCAGAGTTGACAGAAATGGAAGAGGTCACAGGGGAATTGCTCTTCCCAAGGAAAAGTGAGTAAGTCACTTTAGCATTCAGCTTTGTGTCCAGATCCAGAGCATGGACTGAGCCAATGAGGAAGCCTGGAATATTATTCTCCCTGATCTGCATGTCATATGAAGACTTTTCAAAAAGGGGAGAGTTATCATTGACATCAGAGATCTGAACATTAATCAGTCTTGTTGAAGTGAGCCTAGGAGATCCCCAGTCAATGGCACTGATGGTGATGTTGTACTCAGAGGCTCTCTCTCTATCTAGGGGACTTTGGAGCACAAGCTGATAAAAGTTGTTTGTGGTGGCTTTCAGCACAAAAGGGAGATTCATCTCCACAGAGCAGACCATTTTGCTGTTGTCTCCAGAGTCTTGGTCTCTCACACTGAAGAGGGCCACCATTGTGTCTGGGGGAGAGTCCTCCTTTAAAGCGTTGATCAGAGATATGATGGACACTTCTGGGGGGTTGTCATTCTCATCTTCAACCTCTATTAGTATCTTGCAGTGACCCGATAGTCCTCCTCCGTCCATTGCTTTGATGTTTATGATATGACTGCTTTCCCTTTCATAATCAATCTGTCCCCTAACAGTGATCTCTCCAGTCCTTTCATTTAAAAGGAACAAATTATTTATTTTTTCAGACACTCGATGAAATGAGTAGAGGATCTGTGCATTTGAACCAAAATCAGGATCTCTCGCTTCCACCTTAATCAGCAGCGTGCCCTTATGAAGATTTTCCTTTATTCTTACCTGATATTCAGATTGAGAAAATTGAGGAGAGTGGTCATTTATATCTAGAACATCAATATTAATTTGAACAGTGCCTGTTTTTTGTGGCACTCCTCCATCAATGGCCATCAGAGTTAATTGAAGATAAGGCATCTTCTCCCTGTCTAGTTGTTTCTGCAGAATAAGGTCAACATTTTTCTTTTCATGTTCATCAGTCTGTACTTCTACTATGAAATGTGGATTTTTAGTGAGTGTGTAATTTTGGATACCATTTTTTCCTAGATCAGCATCTTGAGCAGACTCCATCTGAATTCGGGTGTTCACCAGGGCATGTTCTGATATTTGTATAGTAAATGTATTTTTTGTGAAGTTAGGAGCATTATCATTCACGTCTTCTACCTGTATTTCAATACTATGGAATTTCAGTGGGTTTTCTAAAACAATTTGAGAAAAAATTAAACAAGGCTCCTTTTGACCACATAAAGCTTCTCTGTCTATTTTATCATTTATCAACAAATCCCCATTTTGGATATCAAGGTAGAAATATTCCTTAGTGTTGTCAAAAATTAAACAGGCTCTGCGAGTTGAGAGTTCTCCTTTTTTCAATTGCAAATCCTGCAATATATTAGCCACTACAAACCCATTTTTCTTTTCTTCAGGGACAGAATAACGAACTGAACTACACAGTGTTCCAGAAAGACTGAGGAAAAGCAAAAAATACAGACCTTGTTTGTCCTTGAGGAAGTGATCTTCCATTGTGTAGGAAATTTCTTTGTTCCAAATGTAATCTTCCTAATTTTTATCCAGTGAAAATGCCTGCTGACAAGAAAATCTGTTTTGTTTTGCAATGTGGATATTTGGTTCCACTGAAATTTCGCTCATATTCTGCTGAGTTTTTGTTTCATTCCCCAATTTCATCTCTAATAATCATTTCCTCAGCATTCCTCAAAGAAAACATTCTGAGTGTCTATTAATATGTTAGCCTGTGCTGCCACTACGTGGTTGAACAAGGAAACAAATTACTTTTGTATGGCACCTGATTACACAATAGACGTACCTTGAAAATCTGAGATATACAGTATTACTTAGTTATTTGGAACAGATTATTTGATTTTGAAAGTACAGCAAAAGTTAGTAAAGTTTCTGGAAAACATGCTTATGATCTGTAACTGAAAAAGTATTGAATGCTTTGTGTTATAAATACCCTGACTTTTATTTTCAGTCTCACTACCTTTTGAATTGTCTTTATTAAGAAAAAGATAAAATTTGAAAATGGGATGTTTATGTGAAATTTCCAGTTAAATTTTATGGTATTTTGTTGATAAAGATCTTCTAAAAGTATATCTGGGAGCCTATTCCATGTGTTCATTTCTTATTTCTCTGTGTTTTAGTTGATATCATTAACTTTTCTACTAGCAGAAATAGTTTGGAAAGTCATAATCATAGAAATATAACAAATTACTTAGAATAGACAAGAATAGCAAAATCATTAATTTCTCTCAATTTATAAAAGGAAAAAGAATACAAAGCATTTTAAGGTATCTTTATGTTACAATAACAAAGAAAAAAAGAAGCATTCTGAAATCAAATTTATATTTTTAAATATATTAAATTCAGGTCTACACTTTGCACAATAAATTAGAACAAATTCAATAAAAAATAAAAATATTAGTGCAATGGAAAATTTCCAATACCATTTTCAAATTCACCATAAAACAAAAAAACCAAACCAAAATTATTCTCACCTGGCATACAAGTTTTATCTCTACTTCATGACCAAAAGGTTCTGCAGATTTAATCTGGACATTCATGCGAATGCTAGTAGGATCCATTGAAACAGGAGATGAGAGTCTGAGAAATCTGAACTCACTATTCAAAAATCCACCAACTTCCCATTCCCATATAATATTCATTATAAAATTCAGAATATAGGTAAAATATAACTGTAATAAATGGTAATGACCTAGACAGTATGTTAGAAAGGTATATACACCATCTATCTCTAATGGCATGTCATATGAATACATATGGGGCAAAAGGAAGAACAAAAACTATTCATTGAAATCCTTGCTATGATTTTATTTATTTAACATATGGCAATTGGGTCGTTGTAAGCTCTTGATGGACATTCGGACACAATGTGATGGATATTTTGTCAAGGAGCACCACAGTCACACTGAGGGATAGAAACAAGACCCCGCTTAAACAATGAATCCTGGAAGATACCATGTTTGGTAGGGATCCTGTTCCGAGTTGACCAAGGCTAGTGAGGAAGGTCAAAACCTGTCACCTTTTGTGTAGGGTCTTCTATGTAACTGCCTTTATCTGGGCATTCAGCAGCCCATTTGGCTTTCCACTGTTTGTTGATGTCAAAGTTGTTAGACAGCTGTTGAGCGAGTGCCAGAGAGGGCTTCCTGGATTTAAGCCTGCCAATTGATAGATGAGGAAGATCAGCATGCAGAGGAAAAAGTGGGTTTCTAAAAATTTTGTTGTATACACCTTCACTAAGGCTTCCTGCCTTCGTAGAGCTGATGGTACAATGTGGCTCAAGACAGGGAGCCAACAAATAGGAGTAGATTTTATGCAACCACTTATGATCCTCATTGTATCATTTAGTTTAGCATCGATCTTGCTAGTATGGCAGCTATTAAGCCAAACAGGGTGCAGTATTCAGCTGTGGAGTAGACCAACCCTAGTGCTGATATTCTGAGAGTATAGGCTGAGGCTCCCTATCTTGATCCTCTTAGTTTCTGGAGTAAGTTGTTCCTGGTATTGATTTTAGCGGACATGTTCTCTAGGTGTTTTTTATAGGAGAGAATCCAAAGTTACTCCAAGGTCTTTGGGGTGAGGATCATTTATTTATTATTTATTTATTAGTTTGATTTATATGCCTTCTCCAGAGACTCAGGATGGCTTACAATGCTTTTAAGCAATAGCCTTCATACTTTTGTATATACCTGCTTAGTAGGGCTTTCACTCTCCCCCCAAGCGGTGTTCTATTTTATACAAAGTCAGCTTATTGCCCCCACAAACCGGGTCCTCATTTTACCTACCTCGGAAGGATGGAAGGCTGAGTCAACCTTGAGCCTGGTGAGAATTGAACTCGCAGTAATTGCAGGCAGCTGGCAGCTAAATACTACTTTTAACAGTAGTTTAGTCCACTGCACCACCCGGCTCTTTACTCCTCATAAGGGAGTAAGTTGTTATTCAGGTAGGCCTTCAGGATGGCATTGGTGAGTTTGTTGTTGAGATGGAAATAGGTGGACACTGTTTTGCTGACACGGGGTATGAGTCTCCAGTCAGCAAAGAATTTTCCCAGGGACTTCAGGTCCTCAGAGAGGAGACAGTCCAAAACTTCCAAGTTTTTATCTTGCGCTGCTAGGGCAAGGTCATCTGCATATCCAAATTTATGTCCCCTTGTAGCTGGTATATCTGAAATGTAAAGATTGAACAGTGTAGGTGCCAGTACAGAACTTGTGGAAGGCCATTGTTGAGTCTTCTTAACTTGCTAACATAATGATAACATAATGATCTGAAAAGATTTATCGCTGAGCATGTTGTTCATTAGGTGACAGAGGATTTTACAGGGGCTAATGTGACTCAGTTTGTAAAGCAGACCCTTCTTCCACATGGTATCATATGCTGCAGTAAGGTCAATGAACACAGCTGTGGTTTGCTGGAAGCCAGCCTCAATATGACCTGCTAGGCTCAGCACCTGATCAACACAACTGCGATTATGATGAAAGCCGGCTTGTTCCATGGGCAGAAATATATCTATTGTGGGTCCAATTCTGTTTATAAGTTTCTCCAGTAATTTGTAACAAGAACTCAGAAAGGCAATGGGGCAGTAGCTTTCCACTCTGTCTTGTGGTTTGCCAGGTTTCAGAAATGATATTACTTCGGCTTTTTTGAATTCTGGTGGGAGGTGTCCGCTAGAAAGTATGTTTGAAAAGAATTTGCTGAGCCAATTCCTTGTTAGTCTCCCAGAATGAATTAGAAATTCAGGGTGGATGCCATCAAAACCTGGTGCTTTGCCAGACTTCAGACTGTGGATGGCTGTGTTGATTTCGTCCACAGAGAAAGGCTGGGTGAATTCAGAGTATGATGGAGCCGACCATCAAAAGCCTGAGAGCACTTTCTTGATGGTAGTTGAGTGCTCTTTCACCCTTGGGGCTTTAGAGAGGGAGACAACTCAGGAGGCTACTTGGTCGGCAGTTACACTGGGTGTTTGTCAAGCAGGTTGTCTGGCAGCTCCCAGTTTCCTTAGTAGGCTCCAGGCTTTCCTGCTGGATTTGCTGAAATTTAATGAGGTTGTGAGTTGTTCCCATGTCTTGCGATGAGCTGCATTCAGGCTGTGTAAGAGATAATCAGCAATCTCTGGATCACCATTCTGTAGAAAAGCCTGGTAGAGGTCTTCAGTCTCTTTGTTCCATCCAGGAATATAATATTTTCTGAATCTTTGAGGGATGTATCTTTTAGCTGAAGCAAGTACAGCCCTTACAAATCTATGGTAATGTTGACTTGTTCGTAGGATCCATTGTATGATACAGTCAAGGCTTTTGGCAAATTCTGGCCATTTGGCTTTATGAAAATGCCATCTGGGTCTCAGTGTGGAAAGAATTAGGGGAATCTGAATTCTGATTTCAAGCATAACAGGATGATGTTGACTATGAGGAAATTTGTTCAGAACTTTCCTGGTTATTGGAAGTGGCTGTATGTTTGGGCCTTCTGAGACAAAACACAAATCTGGGTTAGTTACACATTTCCAGGCAGCAGATTGGAGTGCCCTTGTCTTTGGCATCAAAAATCAAGTGGACTTTATTTGCAACAGCCCAGTCATAAAGCTGACCCCCATTTTCGTCAGAAGAGTGATAGTTCCAATTTACATGATGGCTGTTAAAATCACCTATGTAAATTGCAGGGTGAGGTTTGACGTCCAAAACATGAAGTGGCCAGGATATCTGAGGTGGCTTGTAAATGTTGACTGTTGATTAATGTTGACTAATTTTGAAACAACTTCATGTATATTGTTATTTGTGGAGGTTGACAGTAGAAAAGCATTCTCTATATTCCTTCTGACATACATAGCTGTGCCATAACTGTGGTAGTACATGGCCTCCAGTAGCCCAAATCCTTGGATTTTACCTCTGCTGTATTGCTGATCATCGTTCTCTATATGTGTTTCTTGAAGGATAGCCATATCTATATTCCTTTCAAATAAAAGTTTGGAAACTAATCAAGGAGAGAAGCAACCTAGAACTAAGGAGAAATTTCCTGACAGTTAGAACAATTAATCAGTGGAACAATTTGCCTCCAGAAGTTGTGAATGCTCCAACACTGGAAGTTTTTAAGAAGATATTGGATAACCATTTGTCTGAAGTGGTGTAGGTTTCCTGCCTAAGCAGGGGGTTGGACTAGAAGATCTCCAAGGTCCCTTCCAACTCTGTTATTCTGTTTTCTGGAAATATATTGGTTCTTAGATTTGCTGAACCCTTCAACATTAATCTGGCATGTTCTGACAATGTCCCCAGTCTGTCTAGTCCTTTGCGCCTAAAAAGGCCCATTTTGTTTATCCATTGCCTTGTATTTAGAGAGCCAGGAGTTCTTCAAAGATGTCTAACTGCCAACTGTCGTTAACTGCCAATTCTTCAATGTAGTCTGGCTGCCAATTGTTGCTAGTCGTTTGGTTCACACTACCATGCTATCCAGGGTGCACCACGAGGAGGTGAACTAACATCACACCTTGCTATGAAATATTTATTGATGGCTAGCACAAATCTTGTTATGGTTTCTACCTTTTTAATTATCTGCTCAGTGTGGGAGGGCCTGTTATATTTAGTTTTGGATTTTTTTCTAGGGCTTTTGAATGTTTCCAGTTCTGTGCTCTTGTAATTTTGTTTGAATCCACAAGTGATATATATTTTCTGTTTTTAATTAACAGTCAACTGGTTCAGAAATTCAATATAAAATCCATATAATAATTATCTTGTCAAATTAAAGGAAATATGACTTCATTTTTGCTTAGGAAATAGTTATGAAAGTACTTCTAGTTGCCTTTAAAATAATAAAGACTGGTTTTGAAGGGGGAAATAAAGATCCACCAACTAAACACACCTCATAATTAATTGTAGGCCTGATAATATGTATCACAATTAGAATCTCCATAATTCTTGTGCGAATTTTGTCTCATAAGAGATTAGATGCAGAATTACAACTGCCTATGAATTTCTGTCTTTTGAAACATGGTTGCAAGAAGCACTATGATAGAAAGAAAGAAAATGGATGAGATTGTGATCAAACAGATAGTTAAATACATTGGTAGGTTATGATCTCCCTCATGTGGAACTTCACTATTGGGATTGTCTATAATTTTCATGTAAGTATCAGAGAAGCCATCCACTAGAAAAATTCTTAGGGTCACAGAGGCAGTTCAAAGAGGATGCCCATTATTTCTAACTATCACAATATGAATATGTTTGAAACTCTTGGATGTTCACTGGCCTCATGGTTTTCACTTCCCCATTCTGAGTCCCCACAGCAAAGAGATCTGTTGCCTTCAGCAATTGATAGGAAAGCCCAGAGTTCTGCCCTGAATCTCTGTCCACTGCCACCATTTTGGTGACTGTTGCCTTGGGAACCAGATCATTTGATGGAGAAGTGCTGTTCTGAAGGGGTCATTGTCATTTTCATCCATGATAAGAATTCGGACCATTGTTTCTGAGATCAGTGGAGGCAAGCCCTTGTCTACAGCCCCACCATCATTTGGAAATTTTGTATATCCTCATAATCTATAGATTGAATAGCATACAAATTCCTAATTTCAGAGTTGATGGAGATGAAAGGTGATGCTGGGCCATCCCTGATCTTCCCAGGCAAAAGCTAATAGGTCACTTTGACATTCTACTCTGCATCCAAATCAATTGCATGGATGAATCCAATGAACAGACCTGGAAATTGTTTTCTTGTAAGTGCAAATTATAAAAAGATTTTTCAAATATCAGAGAGTCATTGATATCTGAAGTATGAATAGTAATAATTCTTGTTGAAGTGAGTCTGGGAGAGCCTTGATCAGTGGCTGTAATGGTGATGTTATATTTTGTGCTGTCCCACTCTCACAGACACACAACACAGGTGTTAGGAGTCTTTATTAAGGCTTCCAAGCCTGAGTTAGTATTCCTCAGCAATTCCCTTTGCTAGCACCAGCCCAATGAGCTCAACAGGCTACAGTGCAAAGTCAAGGCAAGTCCACTAGGCAAAGGCAAATCCAGAGTTGAAGAGGCACAATCTGAGTTCAAGGCAAGAATCACAACAGCTGAAGAACACACAGCAAAGAAACAGACATATTGTTCCCAGCATCATTTCACTCCTCTTACTGAGCTAAACAGTGGCTTCTTGGTGCAACCAATCAAGAGGAGGCAAGGCTGCCTCCTAACAAATAGCTTTACTGACTATCGTTGTGCATGCCTCTCAGCCCTACATGCTCTTTTTTTTTTATTGAAAAAGTTTTTCAAATACAAATTTTCCCCCTTTTTCCCCCCTCCTCCCTAACCCCCCCTCACCCTCCCCTCACCCTGTGGCTTCTTCAAAATAAAACCCAAATTCATAACAGATTGTATAATACTTTACCATCCCCTTACTCCATCCCCCATATGCTGACCCTTTCTTTCTAATAATATTATTATATCCCCCTTATACTATACATTTCAAAATAACATTCTACTATAACATTATATAATAACTCCTAATTTAGCATAATAATATTATTATATCTCCCAGTTTAGCAATTTCTGCTCATAATCTACCCTTTTTCTGCCCCCCCATACATATATCTCTTAAATCAAATCTTTTATGTATATTAATATAACATTTCAAAGCAACCTTCCACTATAAGACTATATAATAAATCCTAATTTAACATTTATTCAATTCATAGTCTACCCATTTCCTCCACCCCCATCGATATATCTCTTAACTCAAATCTTTTGCATATATTCATATCTAAACATAATATCCCTTTTCTTAAACTAAACAATCAATACGCTAACCTGTCTCCACCCACTTTCCTACAAGACTACCATATTTAATAATTCTTAATATCTTTATTATTCTGCCCACACCACTAAAAAATATTCCCTTATGTAAATAAAATCCTCTTAAAAAAGACTTTAAGCTTGTAATCCATATAATATCTTCTGTAATGTCTTTCAGCTGGATTGTTAACTCCATCACCCATGTTAGGGTAACATCACATCCTAATTCCAACAGTATGTTTGGTATCTTCAATTACCATCTGCCCCCATCAATAACAAATATCTTCTAAAAAAAAAAACAACCACCCGAGTGACTTTATATTTGTATTCCATATAGTGTCTATAGTGGTGTCTTTCATCCAAATTATTAATTCCAACCACTGTAATAGGGTAACAACCAGATCATCTGCGTGCCCCAATTCCATAACTCTCTTGCCTTGTAGCTCAGCATAAACGTAGTACATTTATCAAAGAATCCCAAAAAAAAGATAGTTCCAATCCATTCAGTTTAAGGCCCTTTTCACATCACAAAAGTACAGCACTGCAGAGGTCTGTCACTCTCCTCAGGATAATATAAACCAATACTTTGCCTCAACTATCTTTTCATATATTCAATCATCTCTTAAATAACTGGCATTACGCTGTTGTTTAGTTTAAAAGTTTTTGTTTTTGTGAGACCTGCTTCTTCTTTTCTTGTCTTTTTGTGGGTTAGATCTCCATCCTGATTTCCTTTCTATAAATTGTATATCAACTGTTTGGTTTTCATGCTGATCTATAACTTGATCTTGTTGGTTTTGCTTTTGTGGCTTAAATCTCCATTCTGGTTCTATGAGTTGTATATCAACTGATTGATTTCCATGCTGGTCTGTAACTTGATAAGTCATCACATTAGAATCCAGAGCTGCCTCTCTTGTGTTTATAAATAGTCCAGCTGAGACCTCTGAAGGAGAATCCAGAAGCGGCTCATCTACAAAGACCTCTGTAACTTGTTGTTTTTCCATTACTTCCACCTCCTTCTGCTTATCTTGAATTTCTATCTCTTGCTGATTTTGCTTTTTGAGAACCTTATAGTAAAATTCTTCTGCTTTTTCAACAGTATTTAGCTGATATCTTTCTCCTTGATATCTCAATATTATTCCAACTGGAACATCCCACCTGAATGAGATGTTTTGTTTCTTTAGCTCAGTCACCAAAAATCCAAATTTCTTTCTATCTTTTAGCATCTTAGGCGGCAACTCTTTATATATCCAGATCTTTCTTCCATACAATTGTAGAGTAGAATTAAAGGATTTTTGCACAATATCATTTCTTATTTCTTTATCTGTGAAGTAAATCACCACATCTCTAGGCAATTGCCTTTGCTTTGCAATCCAAGAATTTACTCTATAGGCCTTGTCAATCTTACAAGATACCTCCTCAGGATGAACCTTTAAAATCCCGGCCAGAACTTGAGCAGATATTTTTCTTAAATCATCTCTATTATTTTCCTGTAACCCTCTCATTCTAACCGCAAATTCCGTGAGCCTGTATTGCATCATTGTAACTTCTTTTTCAACCCCTTGCTTTATATCTTCTGCATTGTAAGTCTCGTGACCAGCTTCCTTTTTAGACTTTACTTCTAAACTATTGTCTTGAATATTTATCAAATCATTTTCAATTCTTTGTATTTTATTGTCCAAATTATAAATCTTATCATCAACTTCCTCCAATTTAGACTCTAATAATTTGATATTTGTATCCATCTTTATAACAATTTCTGAAAAAGCATTACTCACTGTTACAATCTTTCGTTGCAGATTATCATACTTTAATTGTATCATTTCTTTAATTTCCTGCCTAAATTTTTCAAGTTTCTGGTTCACAGTCTCGTGATATCTTGCCATTTCCTCCAGGACAAATTCTTTTAAATTAAAGCCATTCTGCTGAGTCTGTAAGCTCAGAACTTGTTCACATAATTGTAAATGGGGGAACACCCCCCCCCCGCTGCTTGTTTGTCAGGCTTTATTAGTTTTAACGCCATCCTGCCACACAAACTCTTTTTAAAGAAAGAAAACTTTTCCCCAAGCAAGATCAAGTACAAATCTCCAAGAAAAAAGAAACTTAAAATAGATATTTTTCTTCTAGATTCTAGCCAGCACTGTTTATTCTGCTACTTTGTAGCTTGTTATGG